CTATTTTGAGCCTTGTTAGTGGTATTAACAAGCGATTTTTATTTGTCATTACTCCATGCCCAATATACTAGCGTTATACTAGCTTTACAGGCTAAACTGTTTTTAGAGATAAAACTATTTACATTCGATAATCATGAAAACAAATCTCAGATAACGCTTGACTATGTAACAATGTGTAATTAGACCAAAGGTTCACTTTGCGCTGGAGTTCTCCTTTAATGCGATGCAAACATTGTTTTTAAGAACTAAAATGAACAATTTGTTATTAATTAATTAATTTTTAATTATATACACAAACACACTCACCAGCCACTTTATTAGGTACACCTGTTCAACTGCTCATTAACGCAAATATCTAAGCCAATCACATGGCAGAAACTGACTGCATTTAGGTCAAGACGATCTGCTGAAGTTCAAATTGAGCATCAGAATTGGAAAGAAAGAGGATTTAAAGGTCCCGTTCTTCGTGATCCAATGTTTCAAACTTTAGTTAGTGTGTAATGTTGTTGTTAGAGTATAAATAATATCTGTAAAATGATAAAGCTCAAAGTTCAATGCCAAGCGAGATATTTTATTTAAGAGAAGTCGCCTACATCGAACGGCCCGTTTGGACTACATCCCTCTACTTCCTCCTTTAATGACGTCAGTTTTTTGACTAACGTCCGCCCACAGGAATGCTCCCTCAACTCCCTCAACTTGCGCACTTCTAAACTTACTGTGTTTACTCAGCTCTACGGTGATTTTCTGAAGTAAAACGGACGCTTCATCTTTTGTGTGATGTATAATAAACTTTATTAAACTCATCAGTAGCCTATATGTTTGATCATCATTCGGACCTGGCCCGAAACAGCAGACTTGTAGGCTATTAATAAATAATGGATACATACAAGCAGATGACAAATACGTTATAATAACCGTAATTAAACTACTAAACTATACCGTTCCATCTCTATACAGCACTCTGACTCTGTGGGCATTATTGTCCGACTCGAAATGAACACCGTTACTGAGAGTTTCTGATATTATCATAATTCCGTGAGATGAAATTGTTCTGAGAGACTGAGCGCGAGCTCATGAAGCTCCGCCCCCTGTGCCGGCAGCAGCAGCTTATTTGCATTTAAAGGGCACACACTAAAACAGCGCGTTTTTCTGAGCCCCAAAAATGACAATTTAAACATGCTGTAAAAAATTATCTGTTGGGTATTTTGAGCTGAAACTTCACATACACATTCTGGGGACATCAGAGACTTCTTTTACATCTTGTGAAAAGGGGCATAATACGGGACCTTTAAAGGGGTCATATAATGCCATTTTTGTACAAGCTAATATGATTCTTTAGGGTCTAAATTAAAAGTTTGTAATATACTTTAATTAAAAATTCTCATTAGTATTGTAAGAAAACACTTATTTTACCTGGTCAAAAACAGCTCTGTTTTCAGCACGCCGTTTCAGTGCATATGCCTTTAAATGATCACGAGCTGCGCTCACTCCGCCCCTCTGTTCTGTGCTGTGCTACACCGTTTGTAACACAATAACTCAATAACCATAACACGTTGTTCATTATAAACGTGGAATTATGAATTATATTGAGAACGTCATACATAGAAAACATGCCGTAATGTACCCTGAGTGTAAACCTTAGACGCATTCATTGTGAAGCGTGCAGCTAGCGATTTGTTATACATTTTTACAATTAATATATTAATATAAAGTTTAATAAAACGTTTCACTCACTTCCGTTCTTCTGGAGGTTCAGCAGGAACACGAATATCTGGGACCGATCCTTTTTAGCAAAGCTTCTTAGCAAAACCAGCTTTATACTGACCCTCGTTTATAAAGCAGTCTGGTGTGTGAAATGATCCACGCAAACATGAGAGCATTGACGTTGCTCGTGGGGAATATTCCCTTCGAAAACAAAACTCAGCCACTGTGTCTTCAGCGGTTCGGATTCAGGAACATTAAAATGACTGTGTTCGTTATTACACACAAGAACAGAACACCACAATCGCTTAGACGCCATTCTGCTCATAGATAGTGCTCCAGCACATCAACAATGACCGCGCCGATCCGGTCCGGTCCGCGCCGCGCAGACTATGATTGACAGCTACCTCATGTGCGAGGGCGGGTCTGTGTTGAAACGCTCCCGTCAATCAACAGTCGTGGAAGGGGCGTCCGTTTTATTGACTTCACAAAAACGAACGGCTCGATTTGAGGCAGGGGAAAACATATAAGGAGATTAAAACAAAACCACTGGATGGATTTTTATCATTATATGATGTTTGTGTACAGGCACTGCCAACACACATTTCAGTACAATCAACTTGTAAAAGTGCATGTACCATTATATGACCCCTTTAAGTGACTCTAAACGTGTGGTTGTTGGTGCCAGACGGGCTGGTCTGAGTATTTCAGAAACTGCTGGTCTAATGGGACTTTCATGCACAACCATCTCTAGGGTTTACAGAGAATGGTCTGAAAAAGAGGAAATGTCCTGTGATTGGCAGTTCTGTGGGCGAAAAGGCCTTATTGAGGTTAGAGGAGAATGACTGGTTCAGATGGTAGAAAGGCAACAAATACATACATTCAAAACCTGATGACAATGTGGCTGTTGCCTTTCTGTCTCGATGTATTTCTGAGATCTAAAAAAAAATTAGTGACAAGACTTAGGTTATACTCATTGGTTCACCCCACCAGCTACGTAAAGCTGGATCTTTAACTTTAAATGTGGCTCTAATTTAGAGTTTCAAACAAAATTAAAAAATTTGGGGGTGATATTTGATGCTAATTTAACTTTTGATCCTCATATCCAGAATACTGTCAAGAGATCTTTTTTTCATCTTAGAAACATTGCTAGACTAAGTCCTATGTTGTCATTTCCTGGTGGCTGAAAAGTGAATGAACACTTTTGTATTTTCTCGCATTGATTATTGCAACGCTCTACTGGCCGGGGGTTTCAAAAGCTACTCTAATCAAATTACAGTTTGTTAAAAAATCTGCCGCCACAATCCTGACCAGGACTATAGGGATCACATCACTCCTATTTTGGAGTCCTTACACTGGCTCCCGTCAGGTTACATGTTGATTTTAAAATTCTCATGCTTGCTTATAAGACTTTGCATGGTCTTGCGCCTCAATATTTGTCAGAACTCTTAATCCCAACGCGTGATCTCCACTCCTTCGATGCTGGTCTTTTAACTGTCCCGCCAACTCGTTTAAGATATGGGTGATAGGGCTTTCTCTTCATTTGCTCCAAAACTCTGGAACTCTCTGCCCTCTGAGATTAGGCAAGCGGAGTCTCTTAGTGTTTTTAAAGCTTCCCTCAAAATGTACTTTTTTAGGGTAGCTTTTATTTGATTACTTCTAGCTATTCTTCTATACCACTTACTTATGGAATTTATTTGATAACATTTTATTTTTGTATTGTATATTTGAATGTACTTCTCTTTTATGAATGCTTTTATATTGTTGTATTTCTCTTTTATTTTTTCTTATTTTTGTGAAGCGCTTTAATGTAACTTTTAAAGGCGCTATAGAAAACAAAATGTATTATTATTATTATACCAGTAACTCAACAACCAAGGTCTGCAGAAGCGCATCTCTGAATGCTTGAACATGGATAAGCATGCTCAACAAAATTGGACAGGAGAAGACTGGAAAAAAAGTTTCTTGGTCTGATGAGTCTAGATTTCTGATGTGACATTCAGAGGATAGGTCAGTATTTGGCGTAAACAACATGAAAGCATGGATCCACCCTGACTGTATCGAATGGTTCAGGCTGCTGGTGGTGGTGTAATGGTGTCAGGGATACTTTCTTGGCACACTTTGGGCCCTTTAGTACCAATTGAGCACCGTTTAAACTCCACAGCCTACCTGAGTGTTGTTGCTGACCATGTGCATCCCTTTATGACCACAGTGTATCATCTTCTGAGGGCTATACTTCCACCAGGATAACGTGACATGTCAAGCTCAAATCATCTCAAACTGGTTTCTTGAACATGGCAATGAGTTCACTAATCTCAAGTGGCCTCCAAATATAAAAAATGAAAATCCGCATAGCCTTTTACACGTCACTTCACTTCTAAGGATTTGCAGTACAGAGAAAAATATATAAATATGAATAAAAGTGTCATATACACATTCAGAGTTGATGTTATATGGATGTGAAACTGTTTTTTTTCCCCCTCTTGTCCCTTGAAAAGGATTAAATTTCACTGCAGCTGGATTATGTTCTTTAGATTTGGATCCATCACTAGGTGGTGCCAGAATAAGCTTCCTCTTCACACTCAGGTTGCTTTGTTGTTATTTTAAGGCATATTGTGCAATATAGGAAGAGCGTATAAAGAATATGGCAACAATCACAAAAGATGCCCATATCAGGGTTCCCTTGAATAACTCCAAACTCAAAATACTGAGCCTTTCGTTTGTTCAGTGGACCTTTTGTTAAACCTCTTGCTTTGTCATATAGGACGAACAATGTGTTTTATTCAATTTAGGAGGGAAAGGGCATTAAGACGAGCTATGAATTTTAAACAACTGGTGTGGAAACTAAGCCTTCCTGTTTTTTGACACTGTAAACAGAGCATTAACTGCAGTCTGTCTGCACTGGGAAAGAAAATTGGGTGTATAAACAATTTTCACTCTGAAATTGCTAGTAAATTTCACTAATAATTACAAAGTATTGGCAAGTTACAATTAAACATGACATTTTCTTGTAAGACATAATCCTTTTTTTACGGGGTGTGTGACTGCATGAGCATAGGTTGGGTTTCTAATAAATATTATCCAAAACATAAATATACACGGTTATTTCCAGGGTGCTCTGAACAGTTCCGTTACAGTGTTCAGAAGGCAAAAAGAAGAAGAAAAAAAGTTCGTCCCAACTATACTAATAAACATACAAGCTATCAGAGTGATTTTTAAATTCAAAGACAAAAGATTGTTTGAATTTCTTTATTTGATTGGAAATAGCTTTTTTTATCATTGTGCATTTATATGGACATTGAAAATAAGGTATAGATGTCATCAGGAAACTATATTTGTTTCTCAGACACGCTGTCAAACACACCGGCACCCGATGGCGTCATGTTTCACGCGTGACGTCTGTGCTGTGGATGTGATGCATGTGGATGTGGAGTAACTGTCCATGGTGCTGAAACCACCGCAGCGTCTGGATGCGCGTTCCGGAGTCGCGAGGCGTCAATGTGCGCATCTTTTGAGCTCGTATTTCTATACTTTACATCCATAGCAGACTCAAAACAGTGTCGGAATGCTGCTCAACGACACCTTCAAGAACCTGGAGGATGGTTTATATCTGTTAAACTCCTCCAGCAACGAGACGCATAACGCGGATTCTCACGGCAGCAGCGCGATCTTCATCTCCTTCATCTATTCCGTGGTGTGTCTGGTGGGACTCTGTGGGAACTCGATGGTGATTTATGTGATCTTTAGGTATGCAAAGATGAAAACTGCGACGAACATCTACATTTTGAACTTGGCGATCGCGGATGAGTTACTCATGTTAAGTGTGCCCTTCTTAGTCACCTCTTCTTTACTTCATCACTGGCCCTTTGGTTCGCTCCTGTGTCGTTTGGTTTTAAGTGTTGATGCCATTAACATGTTCACCAGCATCTATTGTCTCACCGTGTTGAGTATTGATCGCTACATCTCCGTGGTGCATCCCATCAAAGCCGCCCGGTACCGGAGACCCACCATCGCCAAAATGGTCAACTTAGGAGTCTGGATGTTCTCCATCCTGGTCATCCTACCCATCATCATCTTCTCCACCACTGCACCCAACTCTGACGGATCGGTGGCTTGCAACATGCAGATGCCTGAGCCCGAGCGCCAGTGGATGGCTGTGTTTGTGATATACGCCTTTCTGATGGGCTTTCTCTTCCCTGTCATTGCCATATGCATGTGCTACATCCTCATCATAGTGAAGATGCGGGTGGTCGCGTTGAAAGCGGGCTGGCAGCAGCGCAAAAAGTCCGAGAGGAAGATCACACTGATGGTGATGATGGTGGTGACAGTGTTCGTGATCTGCTGGATGCCTTTTCACATCGTGCAGCTGGTGAGCGTGTTCGTCCAGCAGCACAATGCCACTCTCAGTCAGCTGGCTGTGATTTTGGGATATGCCAACAGCTGTGCCAACCCCATACTGTACGGATTCCTGTCGGACAACTTCAGACGCTCCTTCCAGAGGATTTTATGCCTCCGATGGTGGGATAACGCCACGGAGGAGCCCATAGATTACTATGCCACGGCTCTGAAGAGTCGAGGATACAGTGTGGATGACTTTCAGCCGGACAATCTGGAATCGGACAGCACGTACAGGAATGGCACCTGCACATCCAGAACTACGACTATGTAGGATTCTGTATTGCAGCATGAAACTTTTGTTATCTGTTGTCATTGCAGTATGTTTTTTTTTTTTGTGTGTTTTTTTTGTATTGGTAAGACTTTATAATAACTTTAATTATTTACATTATTAGATCATATAATGCTTTATCAGAAGTTAATGTGCATTTGCTATGAATGCGCATGAAATTTCAGTTAAACATTCAGGGGTCGGGAACCGTTTTTGACCAAAGATTTTTTTTTTATCCTGGTTTATGCATTTTTCCAAAAGAGCCACAGCCAATATAGCATATATATATATATATATATACTCAGATGGTAACTCAAACTCACAGTGAAAGCCCTGCACAGTTAATTCCATATTGGAACTTGTTTATTGTTTGTTGCATATTTGTTTGTTTTCAGTTGTGTATGGACCTAATAAAATGTACTATTATTGAAATGGTGTGAATATATGTATATGTGTGTGTGTGTGTGTGTGTTTTTTAAGTGTTTGTTACATATGTGTTTATATATATATATACACACCATTTCAATAATAGTACATTTATTAGGTCCATAGACACCTGAAAACAAACAAATATGCAACAAACAATAAACAAGTTGCAATATGGAATTAATTGTGCAGGGCTTTCACTGTGAGTTTGAGTTACCATCTGAGTCGTATAAATCTTCTTCTTGTGAGTGAGTGAGTGAGTGAGTGAGTGAGTTTGAGAACAACGCGCAGTGCTTACATCGACTACGTGAATACTCACAGGTGGGCGTTTTGACACATTCTGTGGGTAGGCTACTATTCTTATCCATGTTCGGCTCGGAGCGCGCGCAGAAATCATCCTGTCAGTAGCAGAAATGTCTCTTCGCACAGCACCAGTTTCAATAAAATTATATGTTTCAGTCCAGTCACTAATAGCCTGTTTTTACATTTTCGCTGCTGTTCTAAAAATATTTTTTACCTTTAACACAAACACACTATAGCTGCTTGAATCTGAGTGCAGGAGCTCTATAGGAGTGCTGTTGTGAGTGACACTCGAACCCCACTGAACACGCACTTTGGCCCGCACTGTAGCCTACAACTTGAAATATATTATTAGCCTATTCTAAACTTTTCTTTTCAATAACTTCGGTAGGTAGCCTACAACATAGGAATTGTAATTGGTTGCTTTTTCTACAGAAAGCTGATCTCTATTGATGTGTCCAATTTTTTTTATTGATCATTTATTGGGAAAGGGTGGCTCCCTATCGGGTAGGTTCCCGACCGCTGCATATGATATGTTGACTTATTAATGAAAGCTATTAGAAAGTATGTCGATATGGAAATAATGTGTGACGCTCAGATAAAAAAAAAAAAAAAGAAAACAAATATCCACAGCCAAATATTTAGATGCTATTTAAAATGGTATAAAACGGAGGGGGAGTCCGTTTGCACTCTCAGTGTATTATGTGATCAAACCTGATTTGTGTTTTCTGAAGGATTGGATAGGCTTACTTGTGCTCGCAAAGCAGGAACAAAACAATGCTACAGTTTTCGGGTTTTATGTTTTGGTTCTGTTGAATGAAATCAGAGCCGCTTCGCTTTGTCATGACACTCCGCCAAAAGTATGCAAATATATGAAGGAAAGAAGACCAATCAAAATGCAGTATGCAAATATGACGTCACCGCAGTCAGTGAAGTTTTGAGTGGTACAGTTCTATCAGTGTTGGTCAGTGAACGTTTTTCAACATTTAATGTTAATGCTATTTTTTGTTGTTGTTAAATAAGTGTTAAGTTGACCAAAAAAAAGGAGTCTACTCTTTTATATATATATATATATATATATAATAAAATATTCTACAATGAACCTGTGCCATATAGCCTATATATATAGGCTATATATATATATATATATATATATATATGGCACAGGTTCATTGTAGAATATTTTATTTCAAGTGAAACCGTTGTATGAGAAGGTTTGGAAAGTTCACTAAACCCAAATGTTATATGTTTGACTGTAAGCCTGATCCTGACAGATCTGATCTGAAGCCTGTGAGAAACGTTTCCATTGACTGCTGTAATTCTGTTTGTGCCTCTGAAGGGAATATGTCTAATACAAGGCTGATCTATGGCTAATCCTTAGTGTAATTCATTTCACCCACAATGTGTATATTTATTCAATTATGCTTTTGAATTGTGAAATATCAACAAAACCTCACCATGATCATATTTTACACAAAAAGGTGATATACTTAGACCCGTTTCACCTTTTCAAAAAATATTAATTATTATAGCATATTTTCTTTGTTAAAGGTGCACTCAATAGCCTACCTTTTCTCTTAATAAAAAATAAAGACAAGAATAGTAGGCCCTAGCCTACTTTTTACAAATATATTTTAAATGATCAAAAAATGCTAAAAAAAGAAAAAATCAGTAGGCTATTCAAGCCGATTGGCATATTGGCCACAAACATAAATAAAATACTGTTTGCATCCAAAATCGCATGTATCTTGAGTAGGCAGGCTACTTATTTTGAATAAATAATTAGGTTACTTCGCAACTGCTAAAAAAGTATGTTCTCCGTACTGCCGTGCAAAGGCAAAAGACCGTAACTTCGTGTTTGGTCGAAAATTAGTTTTTTATATTTTTGGCACATTCAAGACCCCCTTTATCATGTGGATAAGTATCTTGAGTCAATTCCGTTGTTTTTTTCGAGAAAATAATGGGTTGTCTTAACAGTAACTTCCAAAAGCCCGTGAGAAACCAAGGCAGAACACCGTAACACCAGTTACCGCTCTTTGGCTTTGTTTTGGAACGCTCATTTTGAGTTACGGCACTCTGCCTTTGTTTAGCCGCGCGTCAATATGAAGTTACGGTGCTGGCGTTCTATCAAATATGCTACCTTTCAGATTGTACGGTGTTCTGCCTTTGTTTTGCTCTCCATTAAAATTGAAATTACGATGTAGCCGTCGTACTTTGTACAGCTGCCATCAGTCCCTGTAACTTCTGATGTCCTCAGAGCTCTGTCCAGCACAAATGCGGTCAGAACATTTAGTATGGTCTGAACCCGCTCCATCGACAAACGTGCGATAGGCTATCCATCGCGAATGATAAATGCAGAGTTGACAGAAAAAATGTTACACACGCCGTAGCAGGTGAATACAACAAATAACTAAAGCCCCGCCTCACCCAGATTGGGTACCGGACCTGGTTGAAACAATCATGCATCTAGCTGGCAGAGTGCCAAAACTTCGCCGGCGCCTTCAGCTCCGCCCTGAACACAGTCGGGCCGACGCGGGACTAATATGTCACAGGGAGTGATAATAATGAAGCAACAACGGTATATTGGTGCATACAACATAATGAAGCAAGAATTGCTGGTGCATACAACATCAGACAAGCTGTTACAAGCGGGTTGTACCTACAATCACACTGTCCGGAATAAATCCGCGGGACGAGCGAAGTGCACTGCACAATAATAGGGCAGACAGCTGAAACCACCGCTACTGAAAAGACGCAGAACACAGAAGGTTGTGCTATAAATGCATTAGTCGTCTAGGTAGTCCAGAGCGCGCTCCCCACCGAGTCTCAAGATGGAAAGCGTTCGTACTTCGTACTTTTCGTGAACGTACGAGGAGCATGACACCTTCGAACACGAATATACTATAAACGAGTCCCCGGGTCGAATGTGCGCGAGGACCTGTTTTATCGTGATCATTTTGAACGCGCGTTTATCAAGTCTTATGCCACTCGGTACCAATTGAAGATCTTACCGCTATGGAGGTATTTTGCCATGTCTCATGTATTAATAATGCCACCAGAATTCAACCAAAGCACAGGGTAGCAATAAGTAGATGTCTATAAGTGTAAATCATACAAAATAAATGCCATGATCACTAGATTTTATACAGGTGTTACTATAATGATTTTGTTAATGGTGATCAGCAACCAAATATTGATAATGTGGAAGTTACTGCCTTTTGCCTTGGCATGACTTCTCACTTTTTGCTGACAATGCAAAGGCAGAGTGTACAGTAACTTTAAAATAGTGGTCAAAAGTCAAGTTTGAGCTCAAGATTTTTTTATGTAGATAATTTTCATTACTAAAACATCTAATTGCCAGATTTACAGTGTCCTACCTATAATTAATTTGGAGGGACAACTGAAAATCTTTAAAGTCATTTTTCTCAGTTCCACACTCTGAGTTAAGGTCTTTCTCATTATTTTTTTATTTTGTAATATTTTGTAACTATTGATGTAATATTAACCCTTACTAGACAGAACTTACTAAATGTTATTTTAAGGATATCGTTGTTATCATAGAAATGTTTGTATAGAGTGATAAAAGCCAAAATGGTCAATAAATTAGAAGTTAAGGTATTTTGCCTTTGTATGACCCATTATTGTTTTGCAGATAATGCAAAGGCAGAATACAGTAACTTCCGAATAAGGGTAAAAGGTCAAGTTTGAGCTAAAAAAAAATTTATGTAGATAAATATATTCATTATGACAACTACTTGGCAAATTTTCATTCTCCTACCTATCATACAATTGGCTGGACAACAAAAAAACTTTAAAGTCATTTTTCTCAGTTTCACACTCTGGTTAGTTAAGGTCTTTTGCCTTTGTAGGGCAGCGTAGTATGGGTGTGTGTAGTATTAATGTAATCTGGACGTAAGTCGCGTGTAGTGTGAACGGGGCTTTAGCCTACATTCGCCATGTTGTTATTATCATGTGACCTACCAGCGTCATTTGCGTCGCTTCACTGACATTCATAAATCCTCTCCCGTGGCCTCATGGCATAGTAAAGTGTCCATTGTACGCACTTCAGAATCTTGCCAGAAGTAGTATGTCATCCGGGTACTTTTTAACTCTTTTATAAGTAACGTTACTGTGAATTCGGAATTCGCCTACTATATAGTAGGAAGTATGCGGTTTCGGATGCAACCACTGAGTGCTCCATTAAAGCTGCTGTAATGATTTCAGCGCACCTAGCGGCACTAAACGGAATTGAAAATATTAACCTGACTCACGAACTTACACCAGAGCAGGTAGTCACAGAAACAAATTTTGATCTCTCAGG